AAGGGGCTTCAAGACTTTCCATATGCTCTGAAGCTGAATCCTGCTATGCCTACTGTCTCCACTAAATTGTGCCTACTCCTTGAGTACAGAGATTGTTTGAGTTTTCTTTTTTATCTGCAATACTTATCAAAGTGCTTGGCACACGTTGTTATGTTGATTTAGTTGTGGCTGATTCTCTGTAACCCCGTTTGGGATTTTCTTGGCAAAGATACCAGAGTAGTTTGCAACTTCCTTCTCTGACTCATATACAGATAAGGAAACTGAGGCAAACAGGGTGAAGTCACTTGCCCTTGGTCACACAGCTTGTAAGTGTCTGAAGCCAGATTTGAACTCAGTAAAATGAGTCTGTTTGACTCAAAGCCTGGCCCTCTATCCACTGAGCCACGTAGCTGCCTTTGACGTATAGTGAGTGCTTAAGAAAAGCATTTACATTCATTTATCCTAGGTTCTAACACAATCAAGTAATCTGTTCTGGCTTTTTAAAATAAAATACTAAAATTATAGTATCTCTTTAATTAATCGTTTGGTTCTAAATTCCTGCCCTGATTCATTATATGTCATTTATTAAATAAATTGGAGATGCCTCTTTTCCAATAAACTCTCACCCATTAATCTCAAAAGTTAATCCCCTAACCTCCTAGGATCAAATGAATTTACTGTTTACTGAATATGCAATTTATGAATAATGTAACAAATGATAACATACAATACTAATTCTTGATTGCAAAGTATCAGATATGGGACTGGTAATAGTGATAGTCACTGCTACATTACTGATACAGTTACTCTTTAAGTCTGGAAACACTGTATCACAATTCAGTTCTCTCAAGATGGTAGCCAAGTTTGTTTACAAGCAAAGAGTTGAAACTCAGTTCTCTCAGAAATCTTTTTTTTTGTCTGTCTCTGACAGTAAAATCACTGAGTCTATCAAGAAAGAAGTTCTCTTAATCTTTTCTCTTCATTCTCATGCAATTTTTCTTTAGCCATAACAGTTAAAACATCCTCCATGACAGACAATTTGACTGTCTTTCTCTACATTCAATTCTCTCTTTAAAAATATAATAACAGTATCTCTATATCAGTGCCATAGAGTCAGGGCCATTGAAGCTGGAGTTATATTTCTCCTCATAGTCCAAAGTATTTCAGTCCCCTGAACAATCTTGGATAATTCAAATCCATATTAATATGATATACAATAAATATATTATAATGCAAAGCATTAAATTACAAACTAAGACTCTAAAAACATAGAACATAATACATGTACACCTTAAAACAATATATGAGAGGAGAAAAAAATACCACACTAGCAAAAACAATAATAGTCCTTTTGCTTTAATCCTTGATAACAAAATTGGGTCACATTCTACTATACATTTATTGATCTGGTTCCTTGGGCATTTGTTTCCACTGACCAAGCGATGATTCTCTCCTCAGATACGTTCATTACATCATCTAGTCTACATTTAGAAAAGGCACTCTGATTGCATTTAAATTCAGACTTTGTTGTAGTGAATTGCTGTGGTCCAACTAATGATGAGGATATATCTATTCTTTTCAGGGCCTAAGGTGGCCTCCATCCCTGTCCTCCCATTCTAAGGCTAATTCCTAGGGATTTAGTGGCTTGCCCACAGTCTCTATGTTCTTCTTTCAGGGAAATTAACATTTTATGTGTCAGTCTGGGCCACAGCTATAACAATAGGTATTTCTGTTACTCTCCTTGTTATGTGTTGGTGGTGATCTTGCATGAGACTGTCCTCACTTTTATTCTGTTGGTCTTTGGTTTTCTGAAATAATATTATTCTCTGACTCCTTTCACTGACTTCTCTGTAAGCTTTTGTCTTTGGATATACATTTCTGGTGTTACTTTCTTCCTGTCCTTCTACCCATGCACAGGATGGTGGGCTCACAGATTTAGAGCTGGTAGGGCTTTTAGAGACCATTGGGTCCAACAATAATATACCTTATTAAATGGGGTTGGAAATTTCTACTAGAGGGAAGCAGAGTATATCCTCAAAGATGTCCAACACACAACATTGAAATAGTGTCCTGGTCCATGATAAGCAAAGTTCCAGGAATCAGGAATACTGTCCAACCACTTAGGAAGATTACTTAAGCTCATATATGGAAGATAAAGTTATCATTTATTGTGAAAGTTGGAGTAGTCCTCAGAGATCTATTTGTCCAGCACTCTCTCATTTCAGAGAAGGAAACTAAGGCCTAGAAAGGTTAGAGGATTGAAAAGCAGAAGGGACCTTTAAGATCATTTAGGCTGGCCCCTTCACTTAATGGAAAAGAAATTTAAGACTCCAGTAAAAAGCTGACCCTTTCCTACCTTTCCCATTTTTTTTCCATTTTATCCCTTCCTAAATCCCATGATTCATCTATACTGGCTTATATGCTGAGCCTCATGCATGATACAACATGATTGTTATGCCTTCGTGCTGACTCTCCCTATGCCTGGAATTCCCTGTCCCCTTACCTCTCTGCCTCTTAGTTTCTTTCCCTTCTTTCAAGACTCAGATCAAATTTCACCTCTCCCTTTCCATGTGGTCCCCAATTGCTAGTATTTTCCCCTCTGAGATGAATCTATCTTTTATGTACCTAGTTACTTGCAATCTTATTTTTCCTATTAGTTTGTAAGTTCCTTGACTTTTGTCTTTCTTTTTATCCCCTGTGCTTAGTACAATGTCTGACACGTAGTAGGTGCTTAATAAATGCTTGTTCACTGACTGACTTAAGTAAGGTCACATGCCTAGTAAGTAGCTGAAATATAGTTTGGGCCCATGTCTTAGGACTCCCATTCCTTAGCTTTTGCCATTATATTATGACAAAATGGCTTACCCAAAGTGTCCCATAGTTCCTAAATGACAGCCAGGACATAGACCCAAAGTCCCTGACCCCAAAATGTTGCACTTTCCCCCCTTCATCCAGTGGCTTCCAGTGTTCAAGGGTCATCAACTTGTAAGTAACTCCATCAGAGGGAGACATTTTGAATTAACTTGACTGAAATATTTTCCTGGTTATATTACTCTCCTCTTCAAGAAGTTTCTGTGGTTCCCTTTTCCCACTTGAATAAAATGTAAACTCTTTTATTCTACATTGAAAAGCCCTCATCAAGTTTTTCTGTTTTGCCTTTCTTCACTGATTTCACAAGCCCCCTCCCCATCAATTCTACCTTCTGGTCACATTGGCCAACTTTCTGCTTCCCCAAGGGCAGCATTCTGTTGGCCATCTGATCACCTTTGCTAAGGTTATCTCTCATGCCTGTGATGCCCTATGTTCTCACCTCTACTTTTGGGGGAAAAAAAAACAACAAAAGTCTCTTAGCCTTTTAAAGCTTAACTTAGATGCCACCTCCAACACAAGGCCTTTCCTAATCATACAAAAGTTATTAACCTTCCCCCTCAATTATTTTGAATATAACTATTTTGAATTTAAACAATTTTATTTTGAATATTTTGAATTATCTTGAATATAAACATTTAATTTACTTGTCTTTGGACACATTATATCTTCCCAAAATATTATAAGCTCCTTGGGACAGGTAGAGGCACTTACTATAACATCTTTTAAATTTGCTCATGCAGACCTGTAATTTCACATCTGTAATGTGAGTTCCTCAGGGTAGAAATTTACTTTACTAATGAAGATCAATACCAGTCATGCTATTTAGTCTTACAGAGTTGCTTAGGACAGCAAGAGGTTAAGAGACTTGTCTACAGTCAACCAGTATATGTCAGAGGTCAAATTTTCATGGGGTCATCCCCTCGCAGGCCATTCCATCTCTATCCAGTGAGCCAGGCTGTCCCTCACATAGGAAGCACTTTTAAAAAGCTGGCTGAACTGAGATGAAGATGATGCTTTAAATCGAGGGATCTAGATTATCTATCTATCTATCTATTTATTCATTTGATTATTTACTTAATTATTTGTTTGTTTGTTCATTGATTGGCTGATTGATTGCTTGTTAACAGGTAAATACCCATCCTTCTTCCTCATGTCTGCCTTCCCTGTTCTAACACAGAATGTATAAGGAAAATGTGGGCATCACAGGAAGAATGGCATATGAGTTTAGTTATGTGTCTTTACCTTGACTTCTATGACATCTGATATAATAATAATAATAATATTTATATAGTGTTTTAAAGGTTTGCAATGGCATTTATACATAACATTTTATTTGATCCTCACTACAACTCTGTGAGGCAGGTCCTGTGATTATCCCCATTTTACAGATGAGAACATTGAGACACAGAGAATTAGTGACTTGACCAAGGTCACATGCTTAGAATCTGAATCAGCATTTGAACTCAGGTTCTCCTGACTTCAAGTTAAACAGTCTATCCATTATGACATCCAACTGCCTTACCTTTGTATTTGATCTCTCTTTACGTGGACTTTCGTGCATTTATTCTTGCATTAATTCATTTAAGTACCTACTATGAATAAATTCTAGAATATTCTATACATTCTTGGTAGCACCTTTGACTTATTTCAGCTCTGGGCACATAATCATCACCTGAGAAAGTATGGTGTCTGTACTTGTTTGATATTTACTTGTCCATGGTGCTTCCCTATAATAAAATCTAATTTCACTGAGGATAGGAATTGTTTCATTTTTATCTTTATCTCCCAGGAAATGGTACAATGTTTTTACTTAAATCAAAGTTTGAATTGAATTGATCTGAATTGAAAACACCTTTGGCATGGAATTAGGTGAGAACTAGCTTAGAGTCTTATATCTGATACTTGATAGCCATATGAGCAAAATCTCTTACTTTGTCTGGACCACAGTTTCCTCATTTGTGAAATGGGTACAATTCCCATGACAGTACCTTCCCCACAGGGTCATTGGAAGGCTTGAATGTAGCAAGTATATCAAACATTTGACAAACATTGAAGGAGTGTATCAATTGACTATTAACAAGGAAATATTTCATTTATGAACTGGGATATGCCAGTGTTGCTTCAATAATCTTCCTTCTTATTTTTCCTAGTAAGAGCCATCAATGAATCCCATGAGAAAAAGATATTTGATGTAATTTATCCACGGAAACGGCATGTCCTACGTAAGAGAGATGTAGAGGAAGACCAGGGGCTCAAAAAGCAGGTATGGCATTTGATATACTCATGGGAGATTTCACTGGGCTATGTTTTTAAATGTATTTGATGCAAATTTTTAGCTTAAAAAGCTCAAATTAATTACAGATTCCTTCAGAGCAAGGGATGTTTTTGGCCTTTCTTTATACCCCTAGTACTTAACACAGTGCCCGAAACAAAGTAGGTACTCAGTGAATACTTGGTTTTTATTTTAATTAAACATTTTATTTTTTCCAATCACATGCAAAATAATTTGTACCATTCATTTAAAAATATCTGAGTTCCAAATTCTCTTCCTCTCTCTTTCCCCTCCTCCCTCATTGAGAAAGTCAGCAATTTGATATAGGTTCCATGTGCAGTCATGAAAAACATATCTCCATATTAGTCACAGACAAAAAAAAATAAGAAAGACAAAGAGGGTTTAAAAAAAAAGGACTCCTCAATCTGCATTCAGACATCATTAGCTCTTTCTCTGTAAGCAGATAGTATTTGGAATCCTAGGTCCTTCAGAATTATGTGAGATCATTGTATTGCTGAGGATAGCTAAGTCATTCACAGTCTATCACCATAAAGTATTGCTGTTGCTGTGCTCACATGTTGGTCAGAGGAAGCAATGCAAGGACACTCTCAAGAGGTTTCTCTGAAGAACTTTGGAATTGATTGGGTGACATGGGGAACACTGGCAAAGGAACACCCAGTATGGTGTGCTTACATCAAAGAAGGTGATGTGCTCTATGAGCAAAGCAGAATTGAAGTAGCTGAAAAGAAACATGAAATGTGCACATTTTGAGACTCTACCCCAAATGTTCAAATGGGCTATTTCTGCCTGACTTGTGGTAGAGAATTCTGAGCTCACATTGGTCTGAACAGCTGCAATTGGACACACTGTACCTTGACGCCAAAATAATGATGTTGTTTTGGTCTTCTTTGAGAACAAAGGACAGCAACCAATCAACTAACCAACTACTGTGTACAATGTTCTGGTTCTGCTCACTTCACTTTGCATCAGACTTTCTAGGATTTTCTGAAAGCATCCGGCTAGTCATTTCTTATAGCACAATATTATTCCATCACACCCATATACCACAACTTGTTCAGCCATTCCTCAATTGATAGACCCCCTCAATTTCCAAGAATTTGCCACCACAAAAAAAGCTGCTATAAATATTTTTATACATATAGATCTTTTTTTCTCTTTTTCTGATCTCTTTGGGATATAGACCTAGTAGTGCTATCGCTGGGTCAAAGGGCATGCACAGTTTTATAACCTTTTGAGCATAGTTCCAAATTGCTCTCCAGAATCGTTGCATCAGTTCACAACTCCACCAACAATGCATTAGTGTCCCACTTTTCTCACATCCCCTCCAACGTTTGTCCTTTCCTTTTCCTCTCATATTAGTCAATCTGATAGGTGTGATGTGGTACCTCAGTGTTGCTTTAATTTGCACTTCTCTAATCAATAGCGTAGAACATTTTTTTCATATGACTATAGACAGCTTTGATTTCTTCATCTAAAAACTGCCTGTTCATACTTTTTGACACTTTATCAATTGAAGAACTACTTGTATTCTTACCAATTTGACTCAGTTTTGTATATATTTGTGAAATGAGGTTTTTTGTCAGAGAACTTGCTGTAAAAATGTTCCCTCAGTTTTCTACTTTCCCTCTAATCTTGGCTGTATTGGTTTTGCTTATACAAAAAAATCCTTTTTAATTTAATATAATCAAAATTATCTATTTTATATCCTTTAATGCTCTCTATCTCTTGTTTGGTCATAAATTCTTCCCATATCCATAGATGTGGCAAGTAAACTATTCCACACTCCCCTAATTTGCTTATGGTATCACCCTTTCTGTATAACTCATACACGCATTTTGACCTTATCTTGGTATGTGGTGTAAGATGTTGGTCTATATACCTAATTTCTTTCAAACTGCTTTCTAGTTTTCCTAGCAGTTTTTGTTAAATAGTGAGCTTTTGTCCCAAAAGCTTGGATCTTTGTGTTCATTGAACACTAGATTACTATGGTTATTTACTACTGTGTATTGTGTACCTAATCTATTCCATTGATCCCACTAGTATTAGATTTTTTTTTGATGATTACCACTTTGTAATACAATTTGAGATCTGGTATGGCTAGGCCAACTCCCCTCCAACCCCCCCCCCCCATTTTCCATTTAGATTCATTTGATATTCTTGACCTTTTGTTCTTCCAGCTGAATTTTTTTATTATTTTTTTCTAGCTCTATTAAATGATTGTTTAGTAGTTTGATTAGTCTGGCACTGAATAAGTAAATTAATTTCAGTAGAATGGTCATTTTGATTATGTTGGCTTGGTCTACCCATGAGTAATTATTTTTCCAATTGTTTAGATTTGACTTCATTTGTGGGGGAAAATGTTTTGTAAAGACTTACTCAAGGTCACATAGCCACTGTGTTTTAGGGACAAGAGTTGAACCCAGATCTTTCTGGCTCTAAGGCCAGCTCTCTCTCTCTCTCTCTCTCTCTCTCTCTCTCTCTTTCTCTCTCTCTCTCTCTCTCTCTCTCTCTCTCTCTCTTTCATTATAGCTAGCTCAATTTAACTATGGGGTGTATTAATAATATGCAAACCACTGGTGGATCACTTATGTGCCAAAGGATGCAAAGATGCATATGCTTCCACTTCAAATCCTTTGACACCATGCCTCTCCTCTCCTCACTTCCCCTTGCCAAGGACAACTTCTCCTATAAGTATCTTGGATAGATCCCATCCTCTCCTAGCTTCTCAGGCAGATCACCCCTGTCCACAATTAGCCCATCCCTCTTAATCCTCAGTCTTTCCCTATCTACTCTTTCCTTTCCTGTTGCCTAGAAGCCCACATCCAAATCTCCCCTATCCTGACAAAATCTTCACTCCATTCTACCATCTCCAAGAATGAATACACTATATTTTTCCTCCCTTTCACAGGAAAACTCTTGAGATGGTGGTGGGGAGTTGTCTATATCTATTGCCTCACTTTTCTCACTCTTCCCTCACTTCTCAACTCCTGAAGCTCTGGCCTGGGGATTCCTCTATTTCTACATGCTTTCTTTCTTATTCTGAGGCCAAGAACATCTTCAGCACTCCAAAGTTCCACATTGCTCATTCCATGTTATTCCCTTTTCAACATTTTGCACTCCATCCCAAATGACCTTGTTATGCCTCACATATAACATTCCATCTCCTGACTCTGCCTTGGCACTGGCTATCCCCCTGCCTGGAATGAGCTCTGCCTACTAGAATGCCTTATTTTTAGCTGGGTGCCATAGTGCATAGAATGCTAGACCTGGAGTTTGGAAGAACTGAGCTCAAATACTTCTTCAGACATTACTAGCTGTGTGACCCTGGGCAAATCACTTCATATCCATTTGCCTTGGTTTCTTTATCTAAAAAAAGCAAATAAGAAAAGAACCTACTTCCCAGGGTCATTGTGAAGATACAATGAAATAATATTTTTAAAAATGATTTCCCAACCTTAAAGTGCTATATCAATTCTAGCTGTTGTTATTATTATTACTGTTATTATCTCCATTCAAGTACCACCTTCTACATTGCTGATACCCTTAGTTTTAGGTCCCCTTCCACAATTGCCCTTGTACTGACTTTGAATATGTTTTATGTATACTTGTATACTACTGCAAACTGTATCCCCCAGCAGAATGTCAGTTCTTTGAGGGTAGAGATGATTTTATTTTTGCTTTGTTAACCTCAGAGCCCAGTATTATGCCTAGTACAGAGTAGGCCCTTAAAAATGTTTGTTGATTGATTGCTTGATTAAGTGATTGCTACTCTGGATCTCATTCTCATTGGTCTTTATAAATGACATGTAATAATATGCCTGTCCCAGACCTAAAAGCTGACTGAATAATGTGAAGTGGTTAGGTGCTATTTAATACTTCAGAGAACAAAGGTACCTGCAAGCTCTTAATGTCTAGAGTAAATAGATCCCAGGTTCCTTTGAAGGCATTAACCATTAACAGACCAGAAAAGGATAAACCCTAGGCTTGATAGAATCCCTTTGATGTTAAGGTCAATAAGGCTAATCACTGGAGGGTTCCAGCTACTTCCAGTTACTTCCCACTTTCCCTCTTGAATGAAGTCTGAGCAACTTTAATCAATCCCTTTCCTCTTTATTTCTATTAGGTTTAGAATAGGTTGTGATTCTGTGCTCAATAAATATTTGTTTTCTGCTGGATTCCCATCATTTCCTCTTTTTCTATTCATAAAACCAGTTGAGTGAGATGGATTCTTGAGTAAACAAGAGAGAAAGAAGACAAAGGATGGAGTGAAATCCTGATAAGTGTAACCTTCTGGGGAAAAGAACTATTTGGATTAGTGCAATCAGTGCCCACAATGGTGGAATATCATCTGTGCACTGGGCTCTGTAAAGCTGGAGACGTGTTCAGCTTAGGAGCCACAAAAAAGGAAAGACTGACAAGCCTGAGATTGTCCGTATTTGGGCCAATGTAGAAGTGAAGGACACTGACTTCTTGCCATATGATGGTCAGGTGGAGGAACTAGGAATATTTAACCTGGAGAAGATCTAAGGGTAGGGCCATGGTGTTTATATTCTGGAAGAGGGATTCAATTTCTTCTGCAGATGCCCAAACACACACACACACACACACACACACACACACAAACACACACAAAGAGTTATTATTATATAGAACAGTAACAACAACAACAACAAAACCTAGTTTTTATATTGTACCTTAATATGATTTGCCAATATTATCTAATTTGATTCTCACAACAATCCTGGGAGGTAGGTGCTATTACTATCCCCATTTTTATAAATGAGGAAATTGAAACACAGAGAGGGTAACTTGCCAGTTGTCACATAGCTAGTAAGAGTTTGAGAAAGGTTTCAAACTCAGGTCTCCCTGAATCTAGGTACAACACTCTAGTTGCCTCAGGTGCCCTAGCTGCCATAGACCACCACCATCACCACCAACAGCAACAACAACAATAACTGCCTCAGATTTGG